CCCCCACCCACTGCCCTGCACTTCTGCCTTGTAATAAGAGTAGTGCTGTGCAGGCAGGATTCCATTTTTTGTTTGATACTGTACTTGAACGTCCAAGCACGCTTTTTATGGTTCCTATTTTGGCAATCCATGGGTCAGCCAGCATGCTACTTAGTCTCCACGACAGCAGGATGGACCAGTCAATTAGTCAACGATGCTGTGCATCGTCGACCTCAAGGTTTGCTCATACACTCATCATAGATGAACTCCATCGTAGCACACATGATTATAAGTCTGTCTTCTGAGAGCTGCTAGCACTTGTGCAATGTCTTTGCTCACGTCACATGCACTAGTGGCGGCTGCAGCGGGCTCAAAGCGGCTGCATTGCATCCTGCGAATGCTGTGGAAGTCTCTCATTCAAGGCGCCGTGTCTTGGTATATATTACGCGTATCGTGTCACCAACATAAGCTACCTCGCTTTGCCAGCGCAACGAGGCAGTCTTCTGTAGAGTCGAATCCGTACGGAGTGATCTGCTGCCCTATTCTTATCCACCATGAATATCGTGTTGTCTAAAATATCAGGATGCAGGCCTGTGTTGGCGCCACCGCTGCAGTCTCACCGGGCTTGCAGGCTGGTGAGGGCGAGCAGCGTGCAGGAGGATGCGCCTGTCACCTCCATAGAGCAGGAACGCTTTGATAAGATTGCAGAGGCATTAGTTGCGAAGCTGCAGGACCTACCGGACACAGTTGTTGACGACGGCGTGCTCGAGGCTGGTGAGCCAGCCAGCGCCCCATTGACAGCCGCCAGCGGTGTGCGCGTGCGTCTGCAATGGTAGCGCGGTTATGCATGCGGGATCGTGCAAAGGCTCATACACATACTGACCTATATATACGACGGCCAGGCCAGTGAAGGCGCGTCAAGCGGGCGCAACGCAGTTGGACAAAGCACTAGGCGAGGCATGGTGCGCAGCTGACCGGTGCACAACGCACCCCGCGCCGCCGCACCGCCGCAGACGTCTTCTCTGACGAGTCCCTGCTAATGGAGTTCGGCGCAGACCCCGAAGCCGCAGCCGCCCAGCTCGCGACGCGCCGCGCCGCCTCCGGCGCCGCCGCCTCCCCAAGCGGCGCCGGCCCCAGCCCCAGCGGCGATGACGCGGCGTCCTTCGTGCCACGCAAGCGGCGCTCCGCGCAGCAGCTTCCCCTTTCGGCCCTCCCTAAGGTGGCCGTCGTGGGCCGCCCGAACGTGGGCAAGAGCGCAATGTTCAACCGCATTGCTGGGTCTTCGGTGGCTGTTGTCTACGACTACCCCGGCGTCACCCGGGATCGCATCTACACGCGCGCGTTCTGGGGCGACAAAGAGTTCTGCCTCATAGATACAGGTGAATAGGAAGGAGGTGGAGAGGCCAGGAAGGGGATGCGCTCGCGAGGCGGGGGGCAGCGGCAGTTCGGAGCGCGCGAGGCACCCAGCAGCGGGCAGCGGGCGCGGGCACTGCAGCAACGAGGGTGGGCGCGCGCAGCCGCGGCGCCCGCGATCGCTTGTCGCGGGTGCTGCAACACGCTGCATGGTTGCAGCCGCAAGCGCCGAAGCCCCACCCCTCAGCACCGCCTGCGGCCCTCGCGCGCCCCCGCAGGCGGCCTGATGAGCGACGCGACGCGCTTGCCCGTGGAGCAGCAGGAGGAGGCGATGCGGTCTATCAGCGCGGAGGGCCTGCCCCAGGCCATCGAGCGCCAGGCGGCCGCGGGTGCGCGGCGCCGCGCGCGCCCTGCCGCTCTTGACCCCGGTGCCCCGCCTGGCGCGCGGGAAGCTCAGGCCCCCTGCCGCCCGCGTTTTGCCCGTGCGCCCGCTTGCACTCGAGCACGCTTTGATCGCCCTCCTGACCCGCCCGACCTGCAGGCGTGGCTGAGGCGGACAGCATTGTGCTTATGGTGGATGGCCAGGCGGGGCTGCAGCCGGGGGACGGGGAGATCCTGGACTGGCTCAGGCACAACCACCCCGGCAAGCCGGTGGTGCTGGCGGTCAACAAGTGCGAGAGCACCACCAAGGCCGACATCCAGGTGGGGCGCGCCCCGGATGCGGCAGAGGCGGCGGCGGTCGAGGGCGGGGCCCCTAGCAGCACAGGGCTCCTCGCGTGCCCGGTGTGAGCGCGGCGTTCTGTGCGGCGTTGCAGGCAGTTAGTGTGGATCTGCTGCTGTGGTGGAAACCCACGCAAGAGCTGCACACACGAACTCACACACACGTGCACACACACACACACACACACACACACACACACGATTGCCCCACTCACACACGTCTTGCATTCGTCCAGGCCGCCGAGTTCTGGGAGTTGGGCCTGCAGCCGCACGCGGTCAGCGCGATCAGCGGCACCGGCACCGGCGAGATGATGGACGCGCTCGCCAAGACGCTGCCGCCGCCGCGCGACGCGCCGTCCGAGAGCGTCGACGACGCGCCCCTCGCGGTCGCGATCGTTGGGCGCCCCAACGTCGGTGCGCGTGCGCGCGCGAGCTGGGAGGGGCAACAGCGTGCCCGGCGCCGCGCTCCGCGGGGTCTGTTGGGGCCGCTGCGTGCGTGCGAGCGGCAGTCGTGCTGACTGCAACTTAGCCAGCTGTTTCGGGGAACATCTAGGATGCGACCCTCTGCGCGATGAGCACCGCTGCTGCCTCCTGGGATTTCCTGTACATCGTTCCAGGCTGCCCAAGCTAAGAGTGTTGTTCTCATCCAACTCTTGCACCGTTTGCCTGCCCTCCGCCCCAAACTACACCCCCAAGGCAAGAGCAGCCTCATCAACGCCATCGTGGGGGAGGAGCGCTCCATCGTGTGCGACATGAGCGGCACCACGCGCGACGCCGTCGACACGCCCATCACGCTGCCCGGCGGCGAGCGGCTCACGCTCATCGATACGGCGGGCATCCGCAAGCGCGCGCGCGTGGCGGACAGCAAGGACGGCGCTGAGTCCATCAGCGTGGACCGCGCGCTGAGGGCGATGGGGCGCGCGGAGGTGGTGGTCATGGTGGTGGACGCGTCGGAGGGCGTGACGCAGCAGGTGCGGCGCTTGCGGTTGCACGTGTAGACCTTTGCACGCAACCTGGTGGATGCAATGCGTTGTGCCGCCCGCTGCCTTGCACTGTCTGGAGGCGAGACATAGCTGCCCACAGGCATCACCAAGCCGCTGGCCGTCGCTGACCCCATCTGCTCATCTTATCGACCGCAGGACTTCCGCCTGAGCGAGCTGATCGCGCGCGAGGGCCGGGCCGCCGTCATCGTCCTGAACAAGTGGGACAAGGTTGACCTGGAGAAGGTCACACAGGTGAGGCCGGGCGCTCGATTGCGGGCGTGCTCCTGGGGAGCGGAGGAGCGGACCGGGCGCCGCGTACAACGGCGGGGTGCGCCGCGCCGCTGGCCCTGCTCGGTGGCGGGCGCGCGGGGTCGGCCCGCCGCCTTCTGCCTTTAAACGGCCACGCGTGTTGCGGCGTTTCGGATCCGCAGGAGAAGGCGGTGGAGGACACCCTAGCGCAGCTGCGGGCCATCGGCTTTGCGACCGTCGTCTGCACGACCGCCAGCCGCGGCCGCCGCGTGGAAGACGTCGTCGCAGCCGTCCTCGCCGCCGGCGCGCAGCACCGCCGCCGCGTGCCGACGGCGACGCTCAACCTGGTCGTGCGCGAGGCGGTCGCGTGGAAGGGGCCGCCGATGGCGCGCGGCAGCGGGCGGCAGGGGCGCGTTTACTACGCGACGCAGGCGGCGGTGCGGCCGCCGACGTTTGTCATGTTTGTCAACGACCCGCGGCTGTTCTCGGACGATTACAGGAGGTGCGGATGGGGGCCTGATGAGCCAGGCGGAGGAGGGGGGGACGGGCGGGCGGCGAGGCGCGCCGGATAAGGGGTGCGTTCCCAGCTAGGGCACGCAACGCCCTGCCTGCATGCCGCTGAGGTCGCAGACGTCAGCCGGCGTCGCGCCTTGGCAGGCTAAACACACTGGGCAGCGGGCGTGCGCCTCCGCAACCCCCCGCCCAGCAAAGATTTCATGCGGCGCCGGCCGCGCCCCTTGGGCGTCTGCCCGCAGGTACATGGAGGGTGCCCTGCGCAAGAACATCGGGTTCCCCGGGACGCCGCTGCGCGTTCTGTGGCGCGGCAAGGGTGGCAGCGACGCAACCTCCAGGATCCCGCCGCCCGGCAAGGGCCGCGGCGCAGGCGGCGGCGGCGGCAGGG